GATTGGTCATATTTAAAAGAGAACATGGGATGCAATGATGTATTGCATGTAAATAATACTGAAACAATATTTGTTAACACATTGAACCTTCAAAGATGCTTTTCATCATAGAGTCACGCATCAAACAAATAGCTTATCATTTTGTGGTTCTGATAGTATTCAGTAAAATGCACATGTCAAGCAGGTAGAACTCCACTAACCGTTAATACTATTGATATTCATCACTAACTTTAGCTTTTCGAGCAAATACAAAATACTTACAGTTTTTGTAAATTTGGCAAACCGTTAAAGGTGTTGTTTTGAATCGTAGTTATTTTGTTGTAATCCAGCCATCTAAAATAGATTTTTAAAAATTATTTAATCGATTGTTTTTGCTATAAGCATTCGGTCGTTTGCCTTCAAAATCAAAAGAAATGAACAGAAAATCCCCGAACATGTTTACAAATATTAGTATAATTGATAGTTTACATGTGATTTATCGAGGCCCAATCTAGTTGGAAATTACGAAAACGATATGATAAAAAAATTCAATTCTTGGAAATATATTTGTATGTATTATGCCAAGAAAAATTTAAGTGAAATATTGTTACCTTGCCTTTATTGTAGTTAAATGTGGGCACTTTCAAGATATGGACCATCTTTCTTGTTTTTATACACAATTACATACTAAACTCCCATAAAAACAAAGTAATTGACAAATAAAAAAAATGTAAATGATGAAAGTTTTGTTTTTCACATATATCATGCGATTTTCATTTCTCTTTTAAAAAATGAAAAGAAAATCGGAGGTAGCCTTTATTGCAGTGAAAAGGGAACATACCGAAACACAAAAATAGCACTTATTTTATCAACTAGATATTTATAAAAGACGCACTGGGTTTACAAAACATCAACAAAGGATTGTGATACTGTATTATGTTCTAAAAATTAAATAATTCTTACATTATGAAATAATTTTCTCTCCATGCTATATTTTTTTCTCATCACACGACGTTGATTTACGTGGAAAAAGGTGGGATGGGGGGATAAAAAGGCGACAAAATTACGAAATTTACTAATATCGTGTATTATACAGAAAAATAAAATATTTTGGTGGTTGCATTTAAATGAGTCAGAGACTTTTTTTTTAAACTCAAGCTTATCAATGCATAATTAAGTCCGCAGTAAAAAGGGATGTGTATAAAGTCTTCAACATGTTCAAGAAGAAAGACTAAAATCGTTTACTTTTCAATTTGGTTGCAGTGTTTGTTTGTTTTTTCTAACTCAATAATTGAAATAAAACAAGATAAAATTAATGAACCTCTACCTAGAAATTAATACCTCGTAATAAAAATGTTCTACGAGTGATAATTAATTTAAAAAAAACCCTGATGTAAATAACAGAAATGCCAGAATGAGCCAGCTTTCAATATGCACAGTCTATAGAGCTTCAAGGTATTGAAAGCCAGCGAAACATTTTAGCGCAATTTGACGTCATTTTAATTGTGACGTTATTGTTTTCAATTGTGACGGCAGTCAAGGGTACTGTGACGTACCTGAGTTGACGCTGCGTTAAAACGTATGCGCATATCAAGTAGATTGGGCCTTGTTATGTTAATTTCTTTAATGTTCATATCTTGTTTGATATGGCTACTTCTAACATACTTTTTTTCCAATAATTATGAGTAACAAAATTTTCTACAAGCATTTTGTTTTTTTTAATGAAAATCAAACATAGCTGCAAAGTCGGAATAATGATTAATCTATTTTAGATTTTGAATATCTATCCGTATTCTCAAGCTAGTACCGAAGTACTTAGCTACTGGGCTGTAGATCCTCGGGGTCTAATATACATTATAATGTTATTATAGAAAAGAAAAAAAATGCAGCAAATGTAAATTACCAACATGTTATTTACTGTACATTAATAACAAAATTCATCCTTCAGAAAAGGAGCCCAAAACTTTCTTTATTTTAATACATACGAGAACTAGTATTTAATTCAATATCCTAGACGCTATGCATTCTATTCCGCTAATGCTTTTATTGCATTACTACCCAAAACTTCTCCAACCACGAAATGAAATCCCCACGAATCAATATTTTTTCCCTCAAACCCCGAAAATTTGCTCCCACGAAAATATGTGATTTCAAAATATGCCTTTTTAATCAAAATATTATTAGAATCATACATGTACCAGAACCTCAATTATCAATTGTTGGTTTCCTTGTTAGTTCGTTTAGTTTATACACAATTCACATAACAAGTTTAGTGAGATATATTGCGAATAAAATGTACGTCGATTTTGTATCAACCCACGAACTGTGATTAATATCAAAAATCTATAAACAATATAACTCTGTAAAAGGGACATAACACAGGGACCCTGAAAATTACAGAGGAGGGATCAGGTGCCTCATCATAATATTCATGGAGTAATCAGGGAAGTAATCACCCGCCGTGAGCACAATGTATTGGTCAGGTATACAGAACGTTCTTTATCAAATTCAGAATAACAAGAAAGGCCTAGCACCAATTGGTAAGAATCCCGTCGGCCAAAATACGACAGAATGATCGGTTATATTTGCTTTCAAAATCATTATAACGCCCAGAGAGTTTTCGAAATGCTGACTTAAAACAAGGTTGACAAAATTCCTGTAAAATCACCCTGTCAGTAGCCTGCCTCGGTTTAAACATTGATCGTACTCGGAGTATTTTCTCGAGTGTCGGATAAGCTGGGAGTTGTAAACACCATATGTAGGTTATAGTGGGATAGAAATAAGGAAAGTTGACGATGGTAAAGACGAAGTCTTTTCGTTTGTCCTACAGTTTAGTTGCTAGTTGGTCCTTATCACCATTTAAACGGGTACCGCAGGGGAGTCGCTAGAAAGTATGGGGAAGCGGTTTTAGTCAGGAGGGATCTAGGTCAAGTCTTTTTTCGTTATTGGAAGATTTCATATTCACGGCGATCGAGTGGACACAACATGTATGATTTGCACAATCGAAGACATGCAATTTTTTATGAACTTTTGAGCTTGAATCCTGTTCTTAATCTTCATATGTTTCATACATAATGTTTCTGACAGTTAAAACAGCAAAAACATTGAATCATAAAAGTCTAAAGAAAATCCCAATTGTACAAATTGTTTCAACATAACATTATTTATTTTATTGATAAAAAAAGTTACAGGTGTAAAAAAAATTTCATATAAATAGACTCTAAAGGTTTGTAATTGATTTTATTTAAAAAGGCGAAGAAAAACAGCATTAAGGAAATCTGAGATAATTATTTTTGGAGGTATCACCGTAATTCAATTCTAAAGTAAAGTTTTTAAGGTACCTCGGTTACCGACATATCAAATTAGTTTTCTTCCTTATGAAGGTAGCTAGTGATCTAAATATAAAATATTTAATAGTGCTTAAATACCGCGCATTTTTTATTTTAAAGGTAAGTTTATACTACTTAGCATGAGCACGGTTTTTCATAAAAGTATATCTTTAAAAAAATACTAGCGTTACAGATAACTCGAACGTAATTGACCTACTTGGCTAAATAGTCAGGATTGTTGAATTTACTTTCGTGATTTTTTGAGACTAGGTTTTGATTTAATTTACATGTTTATGAGTTTATAACACTTTACTTTAAAAGTGAACTTTGATAATCTTAAGTTACCATACAAACTGAAATTTAAATATTATGAAATAAATCGGGATTGGTATACCAACATGGATATTTGTAGACTGAAAATTGCAGTAAAGACAGTCTGAAATCCCTTTTGGAGGTTTGCTTGATTTAACAAATACTAAAATGATAAATAGTTATTTCTAATCATTAATTGTTGTAAAATTCGAATGATTTCATCTTCAATATTTATTTTAGCTTTGGGTGCGGGAGAATCATATTTCTGATTCTATCACAGTCTTACTATCCATGGCTTTTTTTTTTCTCACAGGCAAATAAACTGTAACAAAAAAGTTTACTACTATAAAATTTATTTGCGTCTTTAATGATGCCATAAATCACGTGACACACCCGTTCCTTGGAGCACTAAAGTTTGGTTGATAAACCCATTACTGATCTTACGTACTTTAATTTGTGCAAATTTATAAAGCTACAGGAAAAAGCTTTTTAAATGAAACTTGCTCATTTATGACACAAGGGTATCCATTTTTTTTCGAACTCGACACATGGAAAATTTTTACACGTACAAAGCACTCACAGTTCCAGTAAATTTGGCAAACCATTAAAGACATTGTTTTGAATTATGCTTATCTTGTCGGAGGATAGCCATTCGAAGAAATAAATTCATACAAATGTTTTGCTATAAGCATTCAGTTTATTTCGAACGAAATGAAATGTGAAATCATGGAATAAATTGAATCCGAAGACTTAAGCTACTGGTGTTAGTAAATTACATATCTATAAGCATAATATTGTTCCAAAGACTTAAATCAATGACAATATTATAGTCTACTGTATTTGTTATTATCATGAATAACTAAAATGGATTATAGCTCATATAAGAAAAAGGCACAATTCAAAGATACCTACCAAGATTGCAGTAAAAATACATTTATTTATTTTTGTTTAATGATGTAAATCGTTTTTCAATGTCTTGGACGTTATGCAATGATATAATTTTATTCTTTATTGGATGGTTTGCAAAGATACACAGGTAAAATTGCAACGTATGTTCAACATATGTTGAACATACGTTTAACATATGTTCCGAAACATATGTTCGCCATAAAAAACGAGCAACATATGGTTAACATATGTTTCTAAACATATGTTGATTATACGTTTAACACATGTTATTCATATGTTTTGTATGATCATATGGTCAACATACGTTTATGTTCATATGTCGAGCATACGTTGAACATATGTTAATTTAATTTTTTTTCCCATTAATAATTGGTATTTCCTTGGATTGCAATGTGAACTAAATATTACACTTGCATTTAAATTCCTTAAGTAAACAATAAGAAATTGAAAGAACAAAATTGTAAACATTATTCCTGCATTTATTTTTCAAATTTTTACACAATTCTGGCTTCATTTCCCTGACAGTGACTGCATTGCTTCTGAAATGAGGGAGAAAAAAATTAAATAATCAAGAAATGCCAATGTCATGATAATTACATGTATTATTAAATAAAATATGTTACCAGAAAAAGTAATTACCTTGAGCACTTATAAAATTTCATAAGTCCCTTGGATCATGGTCAAATGATGTGAAAACTTATCATGTTAAGGCACGGGTGGAGCCAATAATGTAAAGATTCTGCTGATTGAGCTCTTGGAAATACAAACAAGAGGCCCAGGGGCCACAGCGCTTACCTGAGCACATCGGGCTTAAATTTACCCCCCCCCCCAAGCGTCCATCATTTGAGCAAACTAGAATCTACACTACCTGAGGATGATTCCATATATATATATATATATATATATATATATATATATATATATATATATATATATATATATATATATATATATATATATATATATATAAATATCACTAATCATAGCTTTGAAGTACTTGAAAAGAAGATTTTTAAAGATTTTTCCTATATATTCCTATGTAAAACTTGGGTCAGCCATTTTGGCCCCACCCTAGCCCCAGGGGTCATGATTTGAACAAACTTGAATCTACACTACCTGAGGATGATTCCACATGAGTTTCATCTTTCCTGGCCCAGCGGTTCTGGAGAAGAAGATTTTTTAAAAATGCCATTAATTTTTAACAAATTCATGATTATTTCCCCTTGGAAAAGGGCGTGGCCCTTCATTTGAACAAACTTGAATCCCCTTTACCCAAAGATACTTTGTGCCAAGAATGGTTGAAATTGGCCCAGTGGTTCTTGAGAAGAAGATGAAAATGTGAAAAGTTTATGCCGACGACGACAACGACAAGGACAGACGACGGACAAATTTTGATCAGACAAGCTGACTTGAGCCTTTGGCTCAGGTGAGCTAAAAAGCAATGCAAGTAATTAAGGTTTATGTAATGTGATTTGAAACTATATAACAGATGAAATTGTGAAAAGTTAACGATGACAATGATTACGACAGACAAGGGATAGATTTCAATCCAAAAAGCTCATTCAAGTCTTAGGCTGAGGTGAGCTTTTAAGGTAGATTGATACTCTGATAAGAGAGATAACTCTTAATGACACAAATGTCTATTATTCCTTTGTAAATTTGTCAAGCTTAAGTGCCATTTTTTTTCAAATTTTGCCCCGCAAGCCATGCTATAATTGTTTGTATTTTATTCAGCATATACATTTCCTTTGGAAAATCATAAAAGTTAAAGAAAAATTTCATATGAGTGAGCAGAGGTTTTATGACCCTTAAGCAATAGCAATAACTTTTTCAACATTTTGACAATTGAATTTGGAATGTTTAAATAGTAAATACAGATTGCCAGATTGATATAGGCTTGATTCAGGACGATCAAGATACAAATGTATAACCCTTGACCAAAAAATAAATACTACAAACAAACAGACAAGCAAAAAAAAAAAAAAAAAAACCCAGAAATTTTGAATACATTATAATCCTAAAACTTTCATGGGAAGAATATATAAAAAAGTTTTAAGTTCATTACAGATTATTTACTTACCCATTTTGAAGCAAGCTTGGGGTCATGGTGTCTGTTCTTCAATGTATTCACCATGAAAAAAGGCAGGCTGTATGTTACACCTGTAAAAATATCAAATAATAATTTACACAGTTTATTATGTGCATATATAACTACAACAGAGACTGTAGTTTCTCGAGGGTTGATAAAAAAGTTAAAATGATAATTGATATATAGATAATCAATGAATTAACTAATACTTGTCGGAGTTTTTTAATTCAGTTTTTTTTCAGTATTTTTTTTTTTATTTCATAAAATTGAATACACACATTTATTTTCTTAGTGTTCTTTTGACAATTGTAAATTATGAACACATAAAGTAGTACCTTGTATGTCTGCTTTAGATGAAAATCTATCCCCATATACATGTAGATATTGTGTTGTTTTATGGCCAGAAAATTCTCTCCATATCTTACAGGTTTTAAAAAATGTGCTGGAATATTGTTCTGTAAAAGAAGAGTTGGATATATATTTTTTAAAAAGCCATTAAATCATGAATTTAGATACAAGTACAAAAAGAATTTTCACAGGAAATATTCTTTCCTTGAATAGTCATTACTGGTAAACACTATGATTATTATGTATGTACCTGATTTGTCATCACGCAATCGCCAGTAAAATCGGCATTGGGTCAATAACTTTGTTCAATCATCACTCAGTCAAATCGGCATTGGGTTCTTTGAATCAAAACGGCACTGGGACGCTGAACTTAAGTTGCTTAATACATAGGCCTAATAAAAACAAAAAAAGTTTTCATTAAATTGTTGAAAGAACCGTATGGATAACGATCTGAACACAAAAATTTTACTTCAACTGCTAAATAAAGTTTCTACTTTCATTTTCATATCGAGATCGTGTATAATATGTAAGCATAACTATTGACAAAAGGAACACAAATTTGCACTAGACCTGTACTTGTGGATAGGAATGCTGCGTTATGCACAAAGTTTATTCGCTTCTCTGTAACCGTAATGAAATGATATTAACACTATGAACTAGGCCAAAATCTTCAAAAAATATCTGAGAGCACTTACCATTTTCCAACACCCAAGACTTCTGCTGCAGTAGTGACGTGAAATGTGACGTACCCTTTCATCCGATATAAACCAAAACCGGTTCGGAATAAACCAATTAAATGAAAACGGTTTAAAATTTACAATACATTTTTGTTTCTACCTGATAAATTTAATTTAGTTTAAAAAAGTAAAATATTTTGTGAAGATTTGAAGATTTGAACATTTGAAGATTAACAGAGTAGACATTCTTCTTTTTTATGCTAGCGTCTACAAGAAATGATCATCTGCATTCTTGCAAATAAATAGATCTATACATTCAAATTCATCTTGATATGTTTTTGAATTTATTTTTGTTTACTTGAAGTACATTTGCTTAAAATTAACATAAAATTAATTTTGTGTAATTTATATTAGACTTTAAAGCAGGCCACAGATTTCTCTCTAGGCTGGGATGGGGGGGGGGGTCTACGAAAGGTATACTCAGTCCAAAAAATGTAACCCAGAAATTAATAGAATAACTGAACTTAGTCTATTACGATTTCAATTTATGATTTATCTAAAATATAAGGTAACTCTCAACTTTGTTGGCAAGAAAATTGAGCTGTTGAACATTTCCTGACGTTAGATATATGTTAAACGTATGTTTGAAATAATCATATGTTGAACATACGTTAAACATATGGTTACCACAAACATATGTTCAACATATGTTTTGAGTCGGCTATATGTTCAACATATGTTTTAGACTTATGTTCAACATAGGTTTTAAACATATGTTAAACATACTGTGGAAAATTCATATGTTTAACGTATGTTTGACTTATGTTCAACATATGGTTCTCAAAACATATGGTAAACATACGTTGCAATTTTACCTGTGTAATGCTATATGTTCTTGACTCATAACAAAGGACGACATTGAATGTAAATTCTTGCCTTCATATCTTAGCAAAATATATGTGATATGTAATTAAGGTTCATTCTTGCTTAAATTCAAGATAAGGAATGGAAATCTATATTAACCGTTGCCAGAGAAATTCAATTGCTTTCCTTGAAATGGCGTTGAAAAGGTAGAAAAAATGGGGATGAATTTTCCTCTAATCTTCTAACACTATCGAATTATTCATCATGCTTCAAAAATATTTCCCCTTTGGAACATAGGAAAATAATTCAACATTTAATTATCCAACCCTACAATAATACAATAATATCCAGCCCATTTATGTACCACAGTGACACAATACAATACAATACCAAACAGAACACCAACAACTAAATGAAATATTTAACAATTAACAATTATAAATTACTTGTATAACAAACGAGATTACTTCAGCTTTTCCAACGTCAAATTTCCTAATTAAGGTAATGATATTCCACTATCACGTGCTTATGGTGTTTATGTTTCCAACTTAATCGCTACTAAACAGATTGCTCTGCGTATCGGGAATGTTTAAAGCAATCACTGATAGGTCCATGTTACAGGGATTTCAATGACCTCGTTTAAAGTCGACATTTCGTAAAATTAGCAGTCGTTATCATGACTTTGTTTGCAAATATAACCTACCATTGAGTGGATTTTTTTTTGATTGACTTGTTTCATATCGATTGTTAGGCCTCTGTTTTTATTCCGAGTTTGACTACGGAAAGTTCTGTCAACCTTATCAATACCTAGGGATAATGGCGGGCGTGTCTAGTCAACAGGGGATGCTTACTCCTCCTAGGCACCTCATCCTAACTCTGGAATTTGAAGGGCTCCATGTTTTATGCTATCTTCATGTATTTGTATTGTTTATTGACTTTTTAGATCAATCACAGTTAACTTTGTTTTCCTCATCTTTTACATCATTTATGAATTAGTGAGCCTGAAAAAGAAGTTAATTCTATTTAAAAGATTACGATTTTACTGAGCCGGTGTAAAGATGAATAAAGACCCCCATCGAATAATGACCGGAAGTCATTTTTCGATAGCGAAAAATGACATCCGGTCACTATTCTAAGGCGAAAAATGACCCCCGGTCATTATTCGACGTCGAAAAATGACCCTTTTGTCCGTAGAAAATGTGTCAACACCCTAAAAATTTGCAAAACCCACGTGAAGAAAAAAGACCCCCGTAAAAAATGACTCCTTGTGGATAAAAGCTGAAATTTTTAGGGGGCAAAAAAAAAAAATTAGATAAAGAAGCATATTGGGAATAAGTTGATGATATGTTGATCTGATAACATTATACAATTATAGTTATATTTTAAGGTCATTGCGATGACTCAGAATCTAAAGGACTAAAATATTTATCGAGCCTAAATTGTTAGGTAAACATTGTTTTTCGATGGTGAAAATCATCGTACTGACAGAAAAAATCAGCAGTACTATATATCATTATATCCTCCGCTTGAAAAGCGGGAGGGTATATAGTGATTGTTATGTCCGTCCGTCTGTTACGCTTAGGGGTATCCATATCTTATCCACAACTCCTCTTCTATTTAAAAAGATGTGTTTGTGAAACATCTATGCCCCTGTATGGCAACATAGCGAAAATTATACTTTTCTTAAATGCAATTGAAATATCTTAGTTTCCTAAGTATGACAAGAAATACAATTGAAAAATAGGAAAGCCCTAGCACCACTTGTTCAAAAGTAATGGCTAAGGATAAGTTTTTAAAAGGTGGGTCAAACTCAAGGGTCAAATGGTCAAAGTTGATGGTTTCTTAAAGGGGGGAAATAAGCACCTCCGTCAAATTTACCTGGTCTTAGAACCCCTGTCAATCATCTGAAATAAAGCCTGGGATTGGATACTTTGATTTGATTGACATTTAGTTTGCTGCTCATGTGTATATCTTGTGTACCTTGTCTGGAGATCGTACCGAGCATCGAATTAACTTTCAGGCTTTTGATGCCTACCGCACATGCCAACGTGATAAAGAAGCAATCAAATCGTTCTTTTCTTTTAGAATTCATAAGAATGCATGCCATAAATATAATCAATCTATCAAATATTTAAATAAATGACAAGAAAAATCATGGCAATATATTATATATTATTAATTTAATTTTAAAATGGAGGATATTTCATATCACGATTACAATTGATAATTTTAATTTCCGTGTCACAACATGAATTAACAAAATAAACCGACCTGCGTTTGAAGTTAGTATCATGAAATTAAATGAAATTATTTTTTAAGACAAGTATGACAACATTTTAACATTCTTCATGAGCCAAGCGAATTTATTTTTATAAGACAAACTTGTACGTGTCACTTTTCTTCGAGACATGGTGACGAAGTTACGGTTTACGGTTTTAGAAGAGAAATTACTCGGAATATAAAATCTTGCTTTGTATTTAATGTTTGAAATTAATTATGAATCTCGAAAGGAAAAAAAAAAACGATGCAGATGATTCCATTCTCGTTTCATAGCTGTCGGGGAATACCCCGGTCCGAGGCCCTGGCCATTTTGACAGACCATGCGTTATGGAAAAATCAAGTAGGGTTTATCTTAAAAAGATATTTATTTAGACAATAATATTTCTACTTCAACATTTTATTCTCAAAACATCGTTTCTAAGTTTCATTGTTATTTACCGAGAGACTGTTTTATGATTCACTTTCTGTATTCGTTTTGCGTAGACGACGTGCAATTTGAATTACTTCCCTTTTTGTCGCCAGATTTTGGTGGTAAATGTATTTTCGTTATAACACTTCATTAAGAAACACACTGTTTATAAAAAATGTCGATTTATTAAAAATATAAATTGTTTTAAAATAAATAAATTGAGAAGGATTCTGACTGCAACAAAAATGCTTTATTTCGCATTTCAATTTGATGAGCTAAACATGAAAAAACGGCCTCGGTTTACAAAGTCGTAGGAAAACTCATACAGGTAATACACCCAGGTAACATCCTGTGTATATAGGTAGTATACACAAGCCAGCGTCGTTCCCTCGGGGCTTCTCAGCCGCTTCGATTAAGCTCCACCCCACACCAAACTAACCTGTGAAAAACCGTACGGTTGAAAACCTCGGCCTTTAAGAAAGGTTAAATGTAACAAGGATTACATATGTGAAGTATGAAAACTCTAGTCCTTACCGTTCAAAAGTAATGACCAAGGTTAAAGTTTTTTTTACATGTACGAAAATCTCCATTCTCCAAGGTCAATGTCAAAAGTTCAAAGTTTTCAGTATCCAATGAAAGGTCATGCCAAAAAAAAAATACATATGTGAAGTATGAGAGTACTAGTATCTACCGTTTAAAAGTTATGACCAGAGTAAAAATCTGGAATTCATATGTAAAATGGGAAAAACTCCAAAATAGAGGTCAAAAGGTCAAATTCGGTGGTACCCAAAGTAAGGTCTTGTCACACGGAATACACATATTAAATATGAAAGTAATAGTTCCAATAAATGAAAAGTTATGGGCAAAGTTAAAGTTTTTGCGCAGAAACAGACCGCCAGATAGACAGACAGACATACAGACGGACACGATAAAACTATATACCCCCCGAATCTTTGATTACGGGGAAATAAAAAGAAATGATCTTCAATTAACTTTTCATATTATGATACACTATAAAAAAGACGTTTTATTGTACTGAATCAGAATGTTTGTTCTAATTTTCATATTAAATTCTCTGAAAAAATATACTCAGAACTGAGTAAAAGGGTGGAGTAAAACAAGAATTAAGAAATGTAATGAAATATGTGTGCTAAATCAAAAGGTTATGTCTACATGTATAGTTTTTGCATTAGAATGTGTATTTTACACTAGCCCATAGCTTTACAGAGCATATTTTTAGGTGTTATACCCACCCCATCCCCTTAATTATTTAGGAGGAAGTCGATTATCAACAAAAGCAACAAAAAAACCCAACCTTTCCTTTTTTATAAGGAGGGACTAAAAATAAGCTTAAAATAATCTAATATTCTACTAATATTTAACTGTTACTTTGCCACAATACTTTCAAGTATACCCCCACCAACATGTAAAGTATGCTTTAGTCATGGCGAAGTAAATTATGATATGATGGTACTTGTGTAGAGGCTTGACTTCATTTCAATATTTTATATAGAGCCTCTTTCAGTAT